AATAATTATTATTATTTATTTATTTACTTATTATTGTATTTATTTTCGTTTGTTATCGTCAACACTATACATACAAATTAACATTGAAGTTATGAGTGTATTTATTTCAAAATATAATAAAAAAGGGTTTAAGAACACAAAATATACAATAATGACACGAAACTGTCGAATTATCAATTACCTAACCTTCAAATTCAAAATTGCCTGTGTGTGAACCTTCCTCGCATTCAACCAATCACGTGCAAGGTCAATCTGGTGACAAATTTAAAATACTCCTCCTGGTTTAAAAACAGAGTATAAAATCTCATCACAGCACCCATTTCAGTACTGTAATAGCTTTTATTACCGCGCGAATTACAAAAATAGTATATTATTATATGCGAGTAGAATACTATACTTTGTCCACGACTATCGAAATTGAATCAATAAATTTATTTTATAAATAAATTATTGAATAAAGTTTAAACCTCAATGTGACACAAATTCAATGTTACTAACTGTAACCAACTTCACAACAATTTGTCAAAATTAAATGTCAATTTTATAAAACGTCGTTTTTTTACGAAAATTAATTAATTTCTGCTTAAATCGTACGAAAAAAAGAATTAGTTTAGGTTTTCTTAATATCAAACCTTTAGAAACTCCTTAAAAATTGAATGAAATTGACGTTTTTTGAAATTTTAACGTTTCAAATAATTATTAGTGTGTCAAGTTGATTATACCCTTTTTTGTTGACTACCCTTTTATTTTAGAAACCTCATTCATAAGGTATACATTACAAGGTAGTCGTGGACAAAGTTTTTTTTTAATACAGTAAACATTTTTTTATTAAAATTTGTTTTAGGCTGGCCATTTGCTGCAGTTTTAGGAGTCCCTTTAGCTGTAGATATGTTAATCATGAAAAAAATGTACAAAACCTTTCTACAATGGTCGATAATTTCAGCGGGAGTTATTTTAGTTCCAATGGTAATAACAGACAGTCTGTTATATGGCAAATTAGTAATTGCCCCTTTAAATATTCTTATATACAACGTTTTTGGTGGAGCTGGACCAAATTTATACGGAGTTGAACCGTTATCTTATTATTTAATAAATGGTTTCTTAAATTTTAATTTAATTTGGGTTAATATTAACCGATTTGTTTTAAATTTTAAACTAATTGATTTAATTTTCAGATTTTTGCATTAATTTCCCCATTAGCCCTGATTTTATCGTATATTCTCGTTCCATCAAAACAAAAAAGTACCTTAACTTTACCCCATTATTTTTCACTTTCCCCTTTATTCTTATGGTTGTTTATCTTCTTTTTACAACCTCATAAAGAAGAACGATTTTTGTTCCCGATTTATCCCTTAATTTGTTTATCTGGAGCAATAACTGTGGATATAATACAAAAATTGTATTTTCGCGTTTTAAATTTTATCAAAACGGTGTCTTATGGTACTCATTATTTGGATTGTACGGTTTTTATTATGGTTGGAAGTTTTATTATCACTTCTTTATTAGGTAAATTTCTTTAATATTTAATTTATATCAATAAATCATTATTTTTTTTAAGGTTTATCTCGAATTTATTCTCTTTACTCAAATTACCATGCATCAATGGATATAATGATGGAATTAAATCGTTATTCCGTTGAAGGAAAAATTTCTGAAAATGCAATAATTAATGTGTGTTTAGGAAAAGATTGGCATCGTTATCCAAATTCGTTTTTCTTACCTAATAATAATTGGAACGTTCGATTCATCAAATCAGAATTTACCGGCATTTTGCCGTTTCCTTACGCAGAGTCAGATAATGGTACAAAAATCGTCCATAAACACTTCAACGACCAAAACCGTGAAGAACCAAGTGTGTATTTTGATCTAAACAAGTGCCACTTTTTGATCGATTTGGACTTGGAAAAGGACACTTTATTGGAGCCGAATTATTCGATGAAGAAAGATCATTGGAAGGTGCTGAAAGTTTTTAAGTTTTTGGACGCGGAAAAATCACATCGACTTTTCCGGGCGTTTTACATTCCTTATTTTAGTGAGAAAAACGTGAAGTATGGAAGTTTTTTGTTGATGCAAAACGTTAAAATTGGAAAATTAAAATAAGCTCAAACACTTTGTTTATTAAGTTCCTTTTTTTTTAAAAGTTTTATATGAGAATTTGTAAATAAATAAATACCAAATGAAAATGTTATTACCTTTTTCAATAGATTTTCTTGGAATTTTCCAAACAATTCCGTTCTAATCACAAAAAACTCGCGAAAATTCGTAACAATTCGAGAATATTCCATCCCCACTCAGTGTAAACGTATATAAATCTCCCCAAATTCAAACCCTCGTCAGTCTCCAGTATATCAGTAAGCGAATAACTTGTTTTCCAAAAAGATGTCTCTCCTTCCATTCTTACTCGACGACTTCTCTCATCGTCCCTCACGAATCTTCAATCAAAACTTTGGTTTGGGTTTAGACCCAGAAGATTTAACGCGCCCGTTGTCTCTCCCAGAACATCATCTTCGCCGTGGTCGTATTCCCTTTAGTTATTATCGCCCGTGGAAATCATTGGCGGCGGAACAAGATGTCGGCTCAACGATCGCTTTGGATAAAGACAGGTTTCAGGTGAACCTCGATGTCCAACATTTCAAACCAGAAGAAATCGTCGTTAAAGTAACTGGTGACCACATCATCACGGTCGAGGGAAAACACGAGGAAATGGAAGATGAGCATGGATATATTTCCCGTTCATTTACACGAAAATATATTCTTCCAAAGGGGCACGATATTCAAAAGGTCGATTCAAAATTGTCCTCGGATGGGGTTTTAACCATTACGGCTCCTACTTTTAATCCAGATGCTGTTGAAGAACATAGGAAAATTCCTGTTCAACAAACTGGGGCTCCCTCGAAAGCTATTCATCATAAGAAGGAGGAGAAGAAAAATTAAATTATTTAGTTAAGATTTTTTGTTAAAATTTTTTTTAAGATAAAATAAATCTTTTCAATAAGATGATGTTTTTTTTTTACTCTAAATTCTTTTATTTCCTTAGAAAGATGAACAAAAAAAGTGTGTTAAAGCAGATGGGGTTATATATATATATAATTTCGGTTTATTGCGTTTTCCGCCTTCCGATTGCAAATGTCTATCACTACCCCTTGCACTTAATCTAGTTTAATCTTGTTTGGTCCAGCTGCTCTTCTCCAGAAGTCAATTTCAACTGATAACAGAAAAAAAATCAAATTTAAATTTTTAAGGTTAAAGATTTATAACCTTAAACTAATGACAGGTTTTGAATTTGTATTTTTTTTTACCAACATAAATTTTGTGTCATTATAATGTCAAAAAGTTTTTTGATATTTTAGTTATTATTTGTAAAATAATAAATTTTGTTGTTATTTTGATGTAAATCGTATTTAAAAACCAAGTATTAAGCCATAACGGCCATAATAAAGCCATAAAATATAAAAACGTTTTAATTTCTTTGTATACAATGATTCAGTTTGGCCAACATAAATTATGCAAAAATAATAAGGTACAAATTCAAAAAATTAAATAAACTTCCTCTTTAATTCTCTTTTATTAATAGACATCTTTATTTAGATACTAAATATACAGAAAAATAATACATACAACGAAAATTAAAAACCTATAATAATAAAGTATAATAATAAAAGTTTGATTTAATATTATTCCTGTTCTATTTCAAAAACGCATTTTTATTAATTTTTTAATTAATCATAATTTGATTTTGAAATGAATTAACTCGGCTTGTACTCGTTGCTATTCAAAAGTAGCTGTGCCGATTTCGCCGCTATCGCCGGATCATAAAGTAAGGGAACTCCCGTTGGGGAAACCGTAGGCGTCGTTAATTGAGTCGTCGACTGCGGAAAAGTGTAAACACCGTAAGGTGCGGCCCCAGAAACATTTGCATTCGGATTAAAATATTGAGGATTTGAAATAACCGTTTGAGAAGTTACATTTGGGGTTGATACATTTTGAAAATTTTGAGGTGGGATGTTTGGAACCGACACATTTTGTAAATTTTGAGGGATCATCACATTTTGAAAGTTTTGTGGATTCGGAACATTTTGAAAACATTGAACTGGAACGTCTTGAATTGGTGCTGTTTGAATAGATCCCAGAAAAGAATTTGGATCACTATTAGAAAATGTAGGGTTAAAACTAGGGATATTAGTAGCTGGGGGAATATTTAAAGGCGCTTGATACACCGAAGCTGCAGGTGTTGGATTATTATTTGTGATATTAACATCATTTTGTGTATTTTCAGCAGTTGAAATTCCAATTGATGTATTTATGGGTGGTAATGTATTAGCAATCATAATTGGAGCAGTACTTTTTTCAGGATAACCCAAATTTGAAGTATTCACATTATTTGTATCATTTATATTACCCCCTCTAATAGGTATCCTGTGTAAATAACCGTACCCAATCCCACATCCCAAACTTCCATCTCCCCCCCATTTTGAGTTTGGGGTGATTGTAACTTCTCTACAAGCATCATCAATACTATTATAAACATACAATTTTAAAGTTCTTGCTTCGTGGGCTTCAATCAAAGCAAATAAATCTTCAGTATCATGTATAACTGAGTCAGCATTCACTATATAATCAGTAAATGACCTTAACCCAGCCAATTCTGCTGGTGAACCAGGATGTACTTCTAAAATGTGCCACACATTTTCGTTTGAACCTTCAAACGAACAAAATTGTATGCTAACACCCAATAAACCTTGTCCACCCCACGAATCACTTAGCTCAATTGATAATGTCCTGACAGTTTGAGTTTTGCTACTAAAAACAGTTATTGGTACTTGTTTACCTGAAAGATAATAAAAATAATTATTCGGTCATGAATATTTTTAGATTATGATACCAATTCCTGCTTTTAAAAGTGTTTTTAACGTGTCATTATCCTCGTTGAGTCTCGTTCCATTTATAGCTACGATATAATCGAAAAATGCTTGTAAGCCTGCTTTGCTTCCTGGTGAATTTTCTTGGACCTAGTTTTTCGGTTATTCTTAATTGAAATGTGAGATTATGTTGGGAAATGTACCTTTAAAATGTGATATCCTTCGGTTCCTCCGCCGGGAACGTCGATGCTGTTCGCGTTTCCCATGACTTTATTGCAAAGAATTACGTGGCACCGAAAATTGTCAACATTTAACTAACATAACCACAAATTACATTTACTTCGAAGTGAAGTTAGCTTCTGTCACTTTGACACAATTAATTATTTTAATAAAATTTTATTTATATTATAATCTTTAATTCATTTTTGAAAGCATTTTTAATCATTATATTAATAATAATTAATAAATTAAATAATAAAAATTTTTGTTATCTAATTTCACATCAAATCATATTGGAGGGTTCATCAAAATGGCTGATTTTGATGAACCCTTCAAAATTTTGAGTCAAGAATCAAAAGGTAAAATTAAAAATTTGTTTATTAAAAAGTGTTATTATTACTTTAATTTCGTTTTAGAATTACTTCATGTTAATTGTAAAGTACCGGTGGTTGAGAATATTGGTTCAGAATGGGACATAACCTTTTTACGAGAATATGTTTCTCGAAACATGCCCGTTTTAATAAAAAGCGGTTGTTCTCACTACCCCGCTGTTAAGAAATGGTCATCAAAATATTTTATGTAAACTCCTTTTAAAATTAAATTACTCAATAATATCGTTGAGATTGTAGCGAAAATATTGGTGAAAATAACGTTACGGTAGCTTTAACACCGAATGGATACGCCGATGGGTTATTTATTAAAGATTTAGAAACGTTATTTGTAACACCTGAGGAAATAAAAATGGATATGAGTCAATTTTTGACTTTATTAAACAACCCAATGTAAATATATTATTTAATAATGAGTTAAACTCACATTTTTTTAGTAATAACGTAATTTGTTATATTCAGGAACAAAATTCTAATTTGACAAGTACTTTTAAGTCGTTATTAAGTGATGTTGATGAAGAAATAAGTTGGGCGTCGAAAGCATTTGGAAAAAATCCGGACGCTATTAATTTTTGGATGGGCGATTCTCGAGCAATTACAAGCAGTAAAAATAAATACTCATTCATTAAGCGATTTTTTGAAATTTTTTTTATAATTATAGTGCATAAAGATCCTTATGAAAACATCTATTGCGTCATCAAAGGCCACAAAGATTTTATATTAATACCACCAACTGATTTACCCTTTGTTCCTTACAAAAAATATAAATGCGCGTCGTTTAAAAACGTTACAAAAAGCGGTTTTGAAGTTGAATATAGCAAAGATTGTGATGGAAAAGTTGTTGAGTTACCTTGGATTTCCATTGATCCATTAAACCCAGATTATAATTTATATCCAGAATTTAAATCTGCCAATATTTATAAGGTTAGAGTGGAAAAAGGTGACTGTTTGTATCTTCCAAGTTTGTGGTTTCATCATGTGCAGCAAAGTCATGGATGTATAGCTGTGAATTATTGGTATGATATGGATTTTGATGTTAAGTATTGTTATTATAAAATGTTGGAAGCTATGTGTCAACAAAAATAAAGGTTTTTTTTTTGTAATTTATGTATTATTAACTATAATAATTTATTGAGTCCATCAGCAGATGGTGAAAAGACTCAAAGAGCTCTCCATGCAGTGTACAATCTCTCCACCACACCTAAATTTGGCCACCAACCTCATCCCAGCTCTAACAGCTCTTGCTCTTTCCATCTCCATACCTCCACCCCATTCATCATAACGTTTTTTATCAAAATTTTATAAATAAAATATACATTCCCCATCCTTAGCTTGTTCTACTTTTGCAATGTAGTGTTTTGTATTACTCTTTATTGCAAAATTAATAAGGACTTCAAAGTTGGCTAATTTCATGTTCAACATTTTCAAGCTAATCGACTTCCAGCCTAGTTTTTCCATTTCCAATTCACTACAATTCTTTAATAATACATAATAATTGTGAATCACCTAAACACAATTTTGAGACACATCATTACACAGAACTACTGCCATTTTGATAATAATTATTACAAGATTAATGAAGGCCTGCCCATGGGTATGTCACTATCAGGGCTTTTATCTGAAGTATTCCTCGACCACATTGAAAATACTCTCATTATCAATGATTGTAACCCTTTTAAACAATACATAACCACTTGGGTTAGGTATGTTGACGATGTTTTTTGTATATGGGATGGAAATCTCCTCTCACTGGACCTCTTCCACAACTACATTAATCAGCTACACCCTAATCTGAATTTTACTTTGGAAATAAAAAAAAATAAATCACTTAATTTTCTCGACTTACATTTTAAGAATATGAATAATAGGATCTGTTTTGACATCTTTCGCAAACCGACTAATGTTAATACTACAATCCCATATGACTCCTCTCATCCATTATCCCATAAATTGGCGAACTTCCGTTTTTTATTCAATAGAGAGAACAAAAGAATTTACCTATCTATAAACTGGTCATGGTCAAAAAATTCCCAAATAAAATTATAAATAAACTCCTATACAGGTGTTTCTAAATTGATGCGGAAAATTTCAAGGGGTGATCTTTTAGCAAAAATTAAGGGGTGTCTTTCATATAACTTTTTGTTCAAACCTTTTTGTTCTTCCAAGTTATAGCACTTTCATCCAAAAAGCAAAAATAACACTCTATCCAAAAATATTTTTTCTAAGTATAATATATCCTTGGCTTTTTCCAATAATAATTCTATTCTGACATTACTCTCAAATTGTCATATGGAGAAGATAGACACTCTTGACAAATGCGGTGTTTATTCTATAGAATGTTCTAAATGTAATGGAATATACATAGGGCAAAGAAGAAGAAGATTAGGCATACGAATACATGAACACAAGAATAAATGTAATTCAAATGTCTATAGACATCACATTGACACTGGACACATAATAAATTATAATAATGTTAGCATCGAATCATTCACCAATGTAATAGCAAGTAAGAAGTTTTTTAAATAGTTTAAATTTAAAACTTGCAACATGAATCCCAAACATAATAAGGACGTAATCACCTAAAAGTAGGAAGTACATAATAACGACTCCTTTCACTCTGTAAGGGTCCAAAGAGAAACTTCTTTCATTTAAATGTCATAAGTGATCTGGTGGAGACACGTCAAGATGCTTCCAATTGTTCCAGCTTTTTCTGGCTGAGCTTGGTGCAACGACAAAAATTTCTAAACCAGTCATTGCCAGGTTGTTTCGTTTTTTTTGTGAGAGCAAATCACCAATTTCTTCCATTTCCATTGAAAGGGTTGTTTTTCCTCCCTTGTTTACCAATTACATATTTACGACGGCGACTTAATAGCAACTTATCTATTTGAAAGTTTTTTGCAGATTGTCTCAAAGGCAGCTCACCCATTTCAATCAGTCTTAATGCCACTCTGATGACATCTAATACACAACACTATCAAACTGACCGACTATTCTAAGTCAAAAGAGCGATAACAACATAAAAGCGAGAGAAACTCATTCCTATTATGGCATTAGTGCTGCTATTTGGTGACCAAGTCTTGTTTTCACCCAATTTTTTGCTACATCCTATTTAAAATCAGGCGTAAAAGTGTTATATTGTCTTAGAAGTCTGAAAATTTCAATTTTAAATCAATAAAAGATAAAGTAAGTATTACATTGTATAATCATATATATTCACTTATTATATGTACAATATTTGCAAAATTTTATTAACTAATAATTAAAATGTTTAGGGATTTGATACTTAAACATTACGACCACAACACAAAAATAATAATTGTCTATATTAAATTGGTTCCCGAATCTCGTATAGAAAAAAATTTATTCGCGCTACAATGATTAGATTGTCTTCTTAAAGATGTGTGAGAAATACATAAATATGAGAATAAGGTAAACAATAATTTCCCGTTTAAATCATTATTTGTTTCTTTTTTCACAGCCAATTATTGGTTTATAATAAATATTCAAAAAAAGAGCTTACTAAGTACAAAGTAAAAAATAATACTTAAATTGAGTAAAATGTGTAAAGAACTTATTAATTATTTTAAAAAAAAATGAAAAAACATTGAGATTCGAAGACCATTATAATATTAAATATTAATAACTAATCTTTTTAAATTAATATCATTCTTAAAAACTAAGAAAACGGAATAATAAAAAATTTTTCTTATTTTGGAATTGTCGTGAGCAATACGTAGAGTAGAACATTAAAATAGAAGAGATACAACATTTTCATTCTTCAGTAGGTGCTTAAAAGAGTATTTAAAAAAAAATTCACAACTGAGGGACACCATGCGCTGATCTTCTTCGTGTAAAAACACGTCCACTTGTAACGGAATGTTTATCATGGAGAATCAACGCCGATGCCATCGCTAATCTTACAGGAGGGCTTTGACCTCCGGGATAACTTATAAATACAGTTATTACAGCGGCTAAACCATCTCCTAAAATTCAATTATAAACAACAAAATTAATTATTTGTATAATTGAGATAAATCCGTAATCGTTGAAATTTTTTTATAACCTGTTGGTTCAACTGCAACCGGACGTACATCATACGGGAGCCAACTTCTAATTCTTGGCCTGCTGGTTAAATTGATTGTGACTTTAGCAAAGGGCCTTTTGGCCATGTGTAACATTTCGCTGACTTGTCTTCGGCGAGCCCGACGAACGTCCGCCGCTTGTTTTGCTTTCCAAGCGACAACGCAAGCTGCCAGAAATAGGAAAAAACACGAAAAAAATACGGAGAAAAAGACAAATAAATCGATGTGTAATTGATCTTGTTGGAAATAAACCAAGCCGAACGCTCGCTTATCTTCTTTATCTATTTGATCACTTACTCGGATAATGAAGTAAAATTTTATTTCGTGCATATTTTGTCGAGCCTAAAAAAGATTGCCATGAAAAGATTTAAAATAGTTTGTAGTTAAAGTTTATTGAAAATAACCTTCGTAGCTCTAACCTGTGGTAAAATTATAACTAATCGATCAGTTACTCCTTTTACGTGTAATATAGGTTTAGGTTTGTCAACAGTAACATAAGTCCTCAACCCAGATGCTTCCCTTATAATTAAATGTTCTCCATTTTTAGTAATATTTTCCCCAACTTTATAGGGGGGATTAAAAGTTATCTCATTTAAACCTGTCGATGAATTTACAACCGCTTTGAAGGCGTCATCACTAGTACTTAAAAACACATCCAACATCCCTTGTGTAACATCAAAATTCGCTCGAATATCTAAATTTGCGAATCTCGGGGAAACCATTAAAAACAACATTTCACCCGGATATAACGGTTTTCTTTGATCTTTCGTTTGATCGATAGTACTCGAATCGAAACCGATTTTTCCCATTACAGTTAATTGTTTATAACATTGTCGCCCCTCTTTCGGATTTCCAGTATAATCTTCTTTACACCTTGAACATTGTACCGTCCAACATTGTTGTGCGGAATTACGACCATTATCCGTTGAACATTCTTCACTAACCGTATTATTTTTACAATTACAATTTTCCCCAGTTCTTGAATCACAATTATCACCATGTCCGTGACATTCACAAGGCCGGCATGGATGGGAGTAATTATTAGGCGGTGGCCGAAAATTACCTCTTATGCAATCATCGCAACGAGTACCCGCGGTTAAATTAGCGCAATTTAAACATTTTGCAGGTCCCGACGGACCTTCGTTTAGTACTATGGTCAGATCAACTTCAGTCATGTTTTCTGGAACGCACGTTGCGGAATGACCGTGACAATATTCCGTACATGGAATGCATTTTATACTATCTTGAGGATCACGGACGAATGATGGTTTACATTTTTCACATTGTGAGCCCTAAATTATAATAAAAAAAGATTTTGATTAAGTAATATTATTTTTAGATTATATCAAGAGATGGCGCTACAAACTATCAAGATTGACAATGGGCGCGTTTATCATAAAATTCCGTTTGTTATAGCGAGTTTAGACATGCATGGATTTAATGGTGCCAATAAAAACTGGCGCGCCAGTAAAATTAAATTGCACGTGTAAACATCAACTATACTCTGTTTTTAAACCAGGAGGAGTATTTTAAATTTGTCACCAGATTGACCTTGCACGTGATTGGTTGAATGCGAGGAAGGTTCACACACAGGCAATTTTGAATTTTGATTTTGAATTTGAAGGTTAGGTTATTGATAATTCGACAGTTTCGTGTCATTGTTGTAAATTTTGTTTAAACCCTTTTGCGTCTTCAATTTAATTGAGTGAAATCTGTTCTTTTTAGAACAAGGTATGGATCGTGACCCTAATAAAAGTAGAATTGCTTTTAATACCTA